CAGCAACACAAGGCTTCAGGAAGATTTAAAAAGCCTGCCACCCTCCTTATGGGGCTGGGATGCATCAGAAGTGCGACTACTTAAAGAAGACACACCTCTCCTGGCCACAAGTGCTCCCAATTGCCCTCTTTTATATCAGAACCAGACCAAGACAAGATATAGGTATTTCCCCCTTTGAGATCCTTTTTGGTCACCCCCCCCCCCATACCCTACAAAGCTTAGATCCTCATTCCCTTTGCTTAGATAGGGGGGATAGGGCTCTCTCTTCTTATCTTACAGCCCTGCAAAAGAGACTACAGACCCTCTGGACCCAGAGTGCGCTGACACAGACCTTACCCCTGGAAGAAGCCCTGCATCCATATGAGCCAGGAGATTGGGTGTGGATCAAGTTCTTCACCAGAACCTCCCCTCTACAACCCAGGTGGAAAGGACCCTACCAAATTTTACTGACTACACACACCACCATAAAGGTTGCAGAACGAGACTCTTGGCTACATTGGACACATGCAAAGCCAGCAGTCATAGACCATAGCCAAACTCCACCACAATCAATCCCACCCATCAAACTCAAGAAAGATCGGGACACAGATCAATGGACGCTTGCAGCATTCTTCAACACTGTTGAACCACACCACTGTGAGGAACCAAGTGCAAACATTGCATTATACAAAACTGGACTCCCAGGTGCTAGTTATAAACTATTTTTTAATTTTTTCTCTCACCTTCTCCATTTTTTTCTTTTTTTAAACCTTTTTTCATCAGGGTTTTTTAACAAAAAGGACTTTAACCATACCTTTCTCATAATTTTTTGATACTTGACCTTTTACATTTTTTTTACATTGCTATTTAAAAAAAAAAGGAGGCGGGGAGGAAGGGAAGAAAAGGAATCTAGCAATGGGGAACATGAAATGCAATATATACTATGTATTATTATCTGTAACAATTGTAACATTTGTAAAACAAACAACTGTGTTCCTGGAACCAAAGCTTATCCCAGAGAAAGGAAAACATATGGGAATGTTTAGCAAGAGAAATACTCAACACCACTAATTTTTGCTTAGCAGGAGGGAAATCATAATGTCACTGGGTGCAGCACACCTAGGGTCACAGAATGCACCAGTCTTAGCAACACAGAACTAAAATGCAACTATACAGAGACCATATCATTTTCATATAGTTACCTGAAGCTCCCACCAGGATGGTTTTTCCTTTGTGGCTTAAAAGCCTACTCATACCTTCCTGCAATGCCACAAATGGCCCCTGCACCTTGGGAAGGTTAACCATGCTTATGCCATCCTTACAGAGACGACACAGGAGAGCCTTCCAAACCCTAGACTCAGACTGTGATTCCAAAGTCTCCCTTCCCACAAAAACAGAATACACCTCATTGGCAATATCCTTGGTAGGGGTACCTGGATTGGCAGTGCGAAATTCTAAAAATTTGAATAGACTAGCATGTACCCTGGCAAAAAGTTTGAATTCGACCTCCCATGCCCTGGATGCCCTTAACAGAAAACTGAGGGAGGTCAGAGAAGCCACCTTGGAGAATAGGGCAGCAATAGACTTCCTTCTCCTGAAGGATAATTATGGCCACGAAACATTCCAAGGGATGTGTTGCCTCAATCTGGACGAAACCTCAGAACTCGTAGGGAGGGAGATCCACCACCTGAAAGAGCTAGCTCAAAATATTGGCCAGGAGCAATCATTCCTGGACTTTTCATGGCTCTTCTCATGGATGCCAGATTTCCATTGGCTCAAAATCCTTATAACAACCACAGCCACCATTTGTGTCTTTGGGGCCCTCATGTGTTGCCTCTGTCGATGCATACCACCCTACCTTAGCTGCCTAAAGGCCTGTATCCCCTCTCAGAAGAGAAAATTAAAGGGGAGATAGGAGCCATGATAATGATCCAGATTGATCACAAATACCAAGTATACCCAGACATTCAATCAGAGACCACTCTCTTAAAAAATAAAAATGAAGGATTGTGGAAAGGGCACTTCATGAGGACAGTGGTGACACCCAAGCAGGAAAAGCCCAAAGGGAACATCAGGCCAGTCATAAAACAAAATTGCATAGGAAAAGAAATTTAATAAAAGGTATTGAAAGAAGCCCCCTAGACAAAAGCCAAGTAATTAAGAAAGCTAGGGAAACAAGAAAAAGAAATCCCTTACAAACAACAGGTCATGCCAAATCAGCAAAACAAATAGAAACAAAATATATTGCAAAGGAGACAGACAGGAGATTGCCACAAAACAAATATAAGAAAACATTAGGACGAAACTGATAATCCAATCAAACCACCCCACGGAGTTTACCCTCCGGTGGAAATGAAGACAACCCCTGACAGGATTTAAAACATTAAGAAATACAAACACAAGCATTCACACACAAAAGGAGGAAAAAAGTATAAAAATCAGGGGTTTAGTATACAAAGCTAGCTAGCCCCAGGAACGCAGACTTCTTGCTATCTCTCGCCTTCCTGAAAAATAAAAAGAACCAGCTTTCAAGCAGTTGTCTGTATCCTTGCACTGGAGCTTTCCCAGCAGGAAAATCGAATCCTCAGAAGAAAGGCATTTGCCAGCCTTTCAACATATGCTATAAAATCTGAACACATTGTCTGGCCTAAAAACAAAAGTTCCAAGGCACAAAATATACAATTAAGCCACTTTTGTCACAAGCAGAATGTTGGTGTTGAAGGTCAGCATGCACACCTCTCCTAGAAGAATGAAATATTCTAGGAAAGATTAAAAAGGCAGAATAGTATACCTCCCTGGATGAGAAAAGGAGAAACATGCTCTTGGAAAGCAGTCCCCACCATTGTTAATAGCTTCCTGGAAAGGATGTGGCCATACTCTGTGAGGGAACAGAGTCCCCTTTTTTGTCTGAAAACTGATGGCTGTGGCCAAAGTGAACCCCACATCTGAGAGGGAACATGGGTAGCTGTAGCTCAAGGGTTGTGACAGAAACCTCCTAGGAGATTTGCTTAGGATGAACTTGAATGAATTTGCTTAGGATGAGGCCTGTCCTGGCTGGTAAGAGGAAGATGTGAGCAAATTGTGTAAAGAATGGCCTTAGGAATGAGACAAAGCTGGAAAACCAATTTGGCTAAATAAAGGTACTTAAAAGAAAAGGGAAATATATAAATAGGAATTTTTTTTTGTCTGTTTATTTCTCTTGCTCTCTGTCTTCCATGCAACCATGTTATATGTTTAAGATTTCTTCCTTCCCTACTTTAACTGAGATTTATGGTGGGAATGACCAGTATGTGTAAACCTGAGAGTTCTGTTTTCCTTTTCTGTTTTGTTTCTCTTGTCTTTGTGTATATATTTATTTTATTTTTATTTATTTTGTCAAGTGATTATAAGATAACAGGTATAAGTATAAACATAGTTATTTTTATTTTATTTGGTTTGTCAGTTGCTTACAAGATAATAAGTATAAGTAAAAACATAGTTATAAATACATACATATAAGAAAAATAAAAATAAAAGAAACAATAGGACAGGGATGGTAGGCACGTTGGTGCGCTTATGCACACCCCCTACAGACCTCTTAGGAAAGGGGTGAGGTCAATAGTAGAAAGTCTAAGGTTAAAGTTTTGGGGCTTTGAGGAAGAAACCAGAGTCAGGTGGAGTATTCCAGACATTGACCACTGTGTTGCTAAAGTCGTATTTCCTGCAATCAAGTTTGGTGCAGTTAACCTTGAGTTTGTATCTATTGTTTGCTCTTGTATTGTTATGGTTGAAGCTGAAGTATTCATTGACAGGGAGGACATTGCAATGTATGATTTTATATAACTATACTTAATCGGACCGAAGGTGGTGTAGTTTTAGGTTTTCTAGGTCTAGAATTTCAAGTCTGGTGGAATAAGGTATTCTGCAACAAGTAGAGGAGTGGAGAACTCTTCTTGTGAAATATTTCTGGACTTTCTCAACTGTGTTAATATCAGATACATAATGTGGGTTTCAGACTGATGAGCTCTATGAGTATTGGTCTAGCAAATGTTTTGTATGCTCTAGTTAGTAGTGTAATATTACCAGAGAAAAAACTACATAACAACTCTTAATGCCTTTTTGGCTATGTAGTTACAGTGGGCTCTAGCACTTAGATCATTAGAGATGAGTACTCCAAGGTCCTTGAAAGAGTTTGGATCATCAACAAGGTCTTGACTATTCAGCCTGTATTTTATTTTCTGATTTTTTTGCGAATATGTAAGACAGAGCATTTGTTTGTTGAGATTTGAAGTTGCCATTTGTTTGACCATTGGCATCTTATGTATTCTGATACATAGTCGACATCTTTTTGAGGGGTGGCAGTATTGTCTGTGGTGTTGAATAGCTTTACATTGTCAGCGAAGATAACACAGTTGCTCTTAATATGATCATTTATGTAGAGTATGAAGAGAGTTGGTCCTAGAACACTGCCTTGGGGGACACCACTGTTGACAGGTACAGAATTTAATAGGACGCTCCCAATTTTGACCATTTGTTGTCTGTTTGACAGGAATGCTTCTATCCAGTTATGCAGGTGTCCAGAGATACATTATACATTATATGATACATTATACAGAGATAATTGCTTTCAGAACATAAACCTTTCAGAACACAAACCTCTTCACTACATCATCACCCAGCAAGATTCAACCAAGCCTGGGACACAGACAGCCTACAAGGTTATCTGGACCCCTGCATAGCCTCCCTGGGAGTCTGACAACCAATAGGATACATTAAACCATCCTTCCAAACAGTCTCCATGTTTCCAGTGTCTTTCTCCTCCCTTGGAAGTGAACCCAGATGGACATTTCTTCCAACATTGGTTTACCACTTTTTTCCTTCCCCAACTTCAACTGGAGTACAGCTTTCATCCTCACCCGAAGCATCATATCTGCAATGCCATATTAGGACAATGCTGTCCTAATGTAATCTTTTGCCAGAATTTCCCTTCCCCACAAGAAACAAACTGTTAAATAAGAAATTAAAAGTTTTTTATTATTTTGGAAAAATCAAGAACAAAGAAAACATATGAATAGCATTTAAGTTAGAAGAAGAGACAGTTGATATAATCTGATGTTCTTCAATGGATGGGGAACCATGTTACTTCACCAAAGCAAGAAGAGCGTGTGCGAAGATCAGGAGTGTTGCGGCGATAACCATATCGGCCGTTCCAACCTGTTGCTGGCTTTGTACCCATCAAGTATAAATGGTGACCAGCTACTTGCTCTGGAGAGTGACCTGTATAAAAATAAATACTAAAGATCATCCACCCAAAGTATGTTAAATTGTAATTTTGGAAAGTACAATCTGTATACAAAAACACACCATTTTTCTTACAGAATTTATCTCTTGATGCTTTTTCTTCAATACCTTTCTTGTTTTTCTTTTACTTTGTATAATCTAACTGCCCTATCAGGAATGGATTATTGTATCCTAAATATCTATACACACACACACACACATTTCCACTCTACAATCCCTCTAAAGTTAATTTCATTTCTGTGGCCTTCAATGGGAGAATCTCCAGAGATGATTATGATTAATCAGTGTTGTTCTTCACCCAACCCAAAAACAAAGAATATTGCTGTGTCCTACCAACCACAGCAGTTCTCTAATTATAACAAATGTCATCTTGATCCACATAAACAATAATATATTACCAGCCGACTCTTCAATTTACATTTTAATTTCATGATCTGTACATTCGGCTCCTGTGTGAAAAACAAGTAAGTGGAGGAATACTAAGATGGAGAGCTAACAAGCTTTAAAGTCACTCTTATTATATTTTTAAGTGCCCATATGACAGGAAAACTGGATGGGATGTAGCGAGGAGATGAATCCCCAGTAGGGAGGGTGAGAGAATAGTTAGAATAAAGGAATAAGCAGCAACTCAGCCTAGATATATGTGAAATGACGAGAGTGAAGAAACCCCTCCTTAATGGTTCACAGAGTATATCATGGATGTAAATAGAGTCTTCAGTCTGGCAATGTTTTGTATATAGATGTGAAACAAAAAACTCAGCTTGGAAAAATTGCTATGTGTTATTCTTAACTATGAGCCTGACGTAAAACATACTACATGTAATTTGCTTTTGTTGCCACCAGGAACTTTATTAGTTTCAACCATTTTTAATCACTCATTGTTTACAGCAGGGATCCCCAATTCCTGGTCTATGTATTGTTGGGAACCGGGCCTTGCAAGTGGTGTAGGAGCGTGTGAACTGTGAAGCTTCATTACACATGTGTGGGAACCAGGTTGCGTGTGCAAAACCATCCTCTCTCCCCTGCTGCTGCTGCTGCCAGTCCATGAAGCCCGAAAGATTGGGGACCATGGTTTAGAGTATCAATCAAATATGATAAAAATTGTATAATAAAATTTTAAACATGTATAAAACTTATTTCTAAATAATGATAAATACTCAGTAAAAATATGTGGAACAGTGCTTTCAATTTACTCTGTCCCGTTCTGGGCAGAGTCATTAATATATATTAATACAATAACAAATACACATGTATTCTTTTGTGATCATACAATATTAATTTTAAGAACATTATGTATCTTTTTTTCCCTGTTCCTAGAAAAATATTGAGAAGTTTTACACAGTCCAGAGCGCAATTAACATGGCATTCATTTTCCAAATGTGTTTATTCAGAAACTCAAAGTTTCATCTTTCAAAAATCCTACTCTACAGCTCTCAGTGACATGAGTAAAAAGGAGGCAAAGTAGGACATTAGCTTATACAGTTAGAATTGAGTTTCCTCTGTGGATAATGCTTTAAGTCAGAGGACCCTGGGGAGGCTCAGTGATTTTGGGGAGATGCCTATATGAGTTGCCCGGTGTTTTTTTGTTTTGTTTTTAAAATAGACAAAGTGGCATCACTCTCAAAATTTGCTGTGGCATTTTTACCCACATTGTTCATGCAAACAAATAGCTAGTCCAGGAAAAGCTGGACAGACTTTTGTCACCAAAGGGGGCACACTATCAAAACTTTCTCCATTTTGTTCCTTTTCTTGCCGATACTAGCCTTCAGCAGGTAACTACAGCTCCACACCATAAAGAAGTCCTGTGATATACAGATTAATACTAAGTTTCATCTGCAAGGAGAGAAATTGTTCAAATTTGCTTTTCATTTTAAGGAGTTATCATGCTGTATCTTCCTTAAACCAACAAAAATCTTTTGTTCCTAATACTATATGAACTGTCTACCTATTACTATTCAGTTTGGTATGCCTGGTGCTGATTTTAAACATGGTGTCTCATTTAATATATTTATTAAAATATGTAACAATCATTTTCAGTTGTGTCATGAAATGTAGTTTTAATATAGAACTCAAAAGCCATTTTTGACTGATGCTTCCGGGCTGCCACATTTAATGCATGGGAAATTGGGAGCGGGATTACAAGGAGCAGTGGAAGATTACCCATAATAACATTCCTTTCTCTGGGAGTTAAGGATGATTGTCCTGCACCTGGAGGAGAGTGACTGGGGGTAGTCTCCAGTTGGGACGAAGAAATGATTGGATGTAGGAGATGTGGGTGCAAGGGATGGAGTTTGATTTTGGGGGGGAGTGGGGAAAGCCCGGAGCTATCAGATTCAGGATTTCCCCAGTTATGCCAATATGACATCTCTAATAAAACGGATCTTTGAATCTGTGATGGTCCTGGATGGTCATTTGCTTTGGAGGTTTTTACTTGGAACACTGACATAGATATTCATAGTTCCTGAATTACTTTAAAAGTTTGGAAGATAAACAATTGCTGGTGAAATGAAAGACTGAGAAAGAGATGGATGCAATGCTTCATTCACCTGCTCCTGCCCAGTTTCTCCTGTTCAAATACCTCTGGCCTGGCCCATAGATATGGAAATAGTCCACTATCCACCCATCCCTAGAGGTCCCACCACGAGTCTGTCAAACAAAAGAAAAACAAAGTCCAGTTAATTCAGTTTAAAAACAAGTAATTATTCAGGGATAGTAGATATTCAGAGTATGAGAGATACAAGACTGGTTTTAATTTTTATCATAGAATATTTTCTTTTTTTCTTAAATGTGACGCAATGAGTAATGTCTACAGTGAGATCATAAAGAGAATTGTGACATCAAGCCTGAAGACCAAACATTCCAAGAAAAGAAAATCTAAATATTGGAAACACGATACATTTACATTTAATAGCCCTTTAAAGTGTGTATAATGAACCAGTTACCAATTATCTCTGCCCAAGGAACAGAACATTGTTGCCCACAATTTCCCATCTCTCTTCTAAAAAATATTAAGGAGTTGTGTGTAAGAGCACATAAAAGAGGAATATTCTGTACTATAATTTAGGATGAACCAGCATCTGATAATTTGGAAGCATAAACAGTTTTTACTTGGGCTTTCCCCATATTTAATACAGGTTGTCTTTATATCTTCTAGACTAGAGGTAAGATGGATGGTATTTAGTTATTTTAGAAATTTAAATAAATTATTTGGTGTTTTTTAGTTGAAGAAAGAAATGTGTTAAAGTCTGTGGATTATCAGACTAACAAGCCAGCATTTTGCAACCAGCTGGAGCTCTATTTTCAAAGGTTTTGTTTTGTTTTGTTTTTTAGGTACTCTGTGTTGGGTAGAATTCTACTTTAAATATATTAAAGGTAAAGGTTTCCTCTGTCCTGTCTAACTCTAAACGTTTGTGCTAATCTTCATTTCCTAGCTGAGGGAGCTGTTATTCAAAGAAACTTCCATGATCATATAGCTGGCATGATTATACACCGAGATACAGTGAATGCTGTTATCTTCCCACCAGTGGTACCTATTTATCTACTTGCATTTTGCATGCTTTCCAACTCCTAGGTTGGCAGGAGCTAGGGGAAGAATAGGAGCTCACTTTGTCATGTAGTACTTGGGTCTCAAACTGCCAATAATTCGACAAGCCCAATATGTTAATGCCCCACCCCCTTTAAATATATTAAGCTATTCAAGTATTTTATATATCCTTATTTGACCCATTTCCCACAGGAATGTATCAGAAATTGATTTCAGCAAAAGTTTTAAAACATCATACATCATACATCAACATGACTTGTCTACAAGTCATGGGAACCTGGACTGTATTCTAGCATATTAAATTGCATTATCTCCTAGCCCTGCTAGTCATCTACTTCATTGATTTCCATTTCAACTTTCAAATGCCATTACCTGCTCCGTCCTTTTTAGCAATGATTTGACCACTGGAGATGAGAAATAGCTAGCAGCGTGGATATCTAACTGAGCATTATAAGGTGGCAATGCAGACCATAGCTTGGGCAGGATATGGGCATAACTGCTACCAATGCTGTCCACCGCCACACCATCAAGGATGAACTCCTTTTGCTTTTGTAGGTATCTCCGTGTAATAAAAGTCATGATTAGCTGAAGAGAAAAAGCTGTCACACTAATCTTCACAACATACCACACCATATATGCTACCGCTCTCCTAGCAACACTTCATTATTACCCTACTAGAGTCTCTGTGATGTTACCAAGAGACAATTGTTCCTTAACAACCTGAAGCTGGCATAGCTTTTTCATTAGTGCAGTAGTTTAGTATAGTTCATTTAATATTACTGTTTTACATTTGAATTAATCTACCATAGTTCCTGCATTTTTTTTAAAAAAAATGCTAATTTATATTTAAGTAACATTGCTAGTTTTATTTTATACAACATAAAGCTTGCCCTTTCCTTTAATATTGTGAAGCTTACAATTCCTAATATATGAGCTGTAGTGCAAGACACTATCTTTTTAGATATATTTATGGAACATTCATAGTATTGTAGCCTAAAAAAATGAATAACCAGTTCCATGGGTTTTATTAGTCAGTGAAATCGCTGACTTTAAATTCCCACTTTTGAATAATAGTATAAATGGTGCATAGAAAAAAGTATAAGCCTTTCTGAATTGTTTCCAGATTTATATATTTAACTGCAATTCAAATTAGGTATTCTTTGTCTTTTGTCCAAAGATGCACTGTACAGTGCAATAATCATTCATGTGTTATGAACAGGAGTGTTTGCAATACAATTTATGGTTATATTGGTCTATGCTGGTTAATTGTTCAATTTTTTTTTAAGTTCACATGGGTGTATCTTTGTTATGCTTTCTTTCATTTAATTTGCTCAAATGATACAATCTGCTCAACTTTACTCAGTGGGAAAGGCAAGGGAAAAGATAGACCAGCAAGCATCTCATTGCTTATCCTGCATAACTTGGGGATACTCTTAGCACAAAAATACACTGTATTCAGCTGGGGCGTGAGGACCCACATGAATCAAAGCAGTGTTACCAACATATATGTAAAATAGTGTAAATTACTTAGAATTCTACACAAATATATATTTATGGCAATTAAAAACATTCAAAAGGAGTTAGCATATCACTGGACAACTACAGAGCGAATAATTCTGGTGTCTCCTTTTTTACAGTCAGTTACTGTATACCTGTCTTGTTTTGAATAAGATTATATAAATATGGTTCTCCTTCACCTATTTCTAACCTTACAACTTTTTAAAAGGTGGAATTAAGGTTGTCCACTGACCCAAGGAATTTTAATAAACAGCAAAAATCTATAAAAATGGGTTTGCACCAAGATTTATTAAAATAACACCTCCAAGTGTTGAGTTTTTCTGATTCAATATCCTATTAATAATATCCAAGCTAATTCAGAACATCTGTTTCTTTCCTTCCCTATATGGAAAACATTCATATCACAAAACCTTGAGCCAATCACTTTTATTTGATTTTTTACAAAGAGCAAATATATTTATGCGATACTGCCAGCATTGGATGCAATTCTGGGCCATAGATCCGCACACTCCTTGGCAACAGGGCCTGTGATAGCAGAGCCTGGAACAAATAAAGAATAAATCAGAAATATTACTTAGCAGCAGCAGCCCAACACCATCATAAAAACAAATATCTACATTTATGATCAATTGGAAATTCCTTACTGACTTTTTTTGCATGGAACAGAAAAATTCATTTGATTTTGATTAGAAAAGTATCAGAACATCGAAAATGAAGGGTTTACTACAATCATAAAGAAATGTTGTACTTAATGGTTTGCTGCAAAATAAATTGTAAACTTCTATTTTTTATTTTTTCTACACTTTTTTCTTTGTTGCTTGCGTCTTCTCTTTTTTAGCTGGTTTTGTAAAACAGTAATGAGTGCCCAGGACATTTTAAATCATTCTATAACAATAAGACCACTCCAGAGAAGGACTAGCTTCACTGTGAATTACAATTCTGTAGCTCACTAGAATAAACCATTAATACAGACTTAATATTTTTGCAAGAAGCAAAATGTGGTATTCTTTTTAATTTTTTGATCCCTTCAGCAACAATACCTTTCATTTCTCCTTTGTTGTTTACTATCACTCCTGCATTGTCTTCAAAATACAAGAATACCCCATCTTTTCTCCTGTATGATTTCCGTTGACGAATCACAACTGCTGGATGTACTATGAAAAAGTTCAAAATCAGTAGTTTAGTATGCAACACCTGAATTTGAAATCAAGCATTGGTTTTAGAGTTATTATAAAATAAAATTCCGCAACTGAAAACAATCAATCAACCTTATTAAAATGCCGGTCATGGCAGCATAGAACATAAAATGTAAAACCCTAAATGTATATATGACAGAAAAATTAGAATGAAAACATGCTCCAGGTAGTATTAAATTCTGTATGACTTACTGGTATCAGCAACAGTTACAGTAATTATGTGCTTATACCATTTAATTAATAGGACTTCAAAAATACTCTGCTCTAGCGAGATCATCTCTTAAGCCTCTGGTATGGTTCTGGTGCTCATACAAGATTTCTAATAGACAGAACTTTAAAGTATACAATTTTACTTTACTATAAAACATTCATATTTTGAGGAAATTGGAAAACAGAATAGTCTTTCCTTATCTAGTAACTTTGTTATGGATTACAGCTCAGTCAGCCCCCATATTCTGGAAACTCTGGGGAGTTATCGTTTGAAGAATATAGATAGAATACATATGCATCACTTTCAGTATTTCTGGCGTAAAATTATATTCTGTTCTGTCCTAAATTAATGAACTCTTCTAAAATATAACCCAAACTAGATACATTATCCTAAATTGATTTTCCCAAAGGAAAAATGTTTTTCCAGAATATATGAATTCATAAGCTGAAAACACAACCCAATTCATAAATTAATTTAAAATAAACCCAAACTAGATTCCATCCAATGTTAAATCATTTCAGGCAAAAACACTTTATAGTTAATTCACAACTAATATAGATCTCATCAATATACCACAAGGATCACTGCATCCAACCCTCTTACTTCTAATTCCTTCTAATGTTGAAAATGTTGGATAAATAATCATTAGATCATAACTGTAGTTTCTTCCAACTACTTTTCACTTTCAGTCCCCAAGTAATATAAACAAGATCAATAAATCTTGTTCATTCCATCACTCACCCTTCTTTCTCAGCTCTGGCTTGCCTTTCTTGACAGTAGCCATTACCATGTCCCCCACACCTGCAGCTGGTAGTCTATTCAGACGCCCCTTAATACCTTTCACTGATATTATGTACAGATTCTTGGCTCCTGTGAAAAAAAGAGTTACTGCTATTAACAAAAACTTTGTATCAAAGATATAAAAGACTTCTCAAAATTTTTGTTGCATTACCGATTGAGGAAAAACAGCACAAGCTGTAACCTCACCCAAAAGTAATGCTGTTTCTTTACCCTTCCATGACAACTCCCTGGGCCATCGGAAAACAGACCCAACAAGTGCTTTTTGGAGGGAAAACTCATTGCTTCTAGTCTGCATCACTTGTTCTTTTAACATGACTGTTATGGCTCACAACTGAACTTATTGGGATTTTTTTTTCCAGCTGAACTGGATAGGGATAGAGTTCTTTCCTCTTAGATTCTGAACTGCAAAAAGTTAATTCAGGGAATTAAATGCTTTAATATATATTAGAAGGGAAGTAATTCAAGTGGGTACTCTACTTTCAACTTATATATGGCAATTTTAAAATGGCAAAACTCCTGCCTGCTTTATTTGTTACGTTACTATGCTGTCATAATAAAACTTTCTCACTCTTTTTATGTAGGCTGCTTGCCTCACTTGTACAGAAGATAGCAATTTGCGGGTTTGTTGTTTTGATAACTAGTACCCTTTCCTCAGTATAAGAAATTAACTCTCACAAATACTAGCTTGTATATTTTCCACTTCCACTAGAATAAAGCACCCAAATATCATCCAGCCCAAATTCAACCACATTCTGGATTATTTTCATTCTATGGAGAGTAAAAAATTATCTACAAAAATTATCTAAATCTAAGAAAAATATTTACTGATCTAGATTTTTGCAGTAAATAACTGAACTAAAGGATGTTTCTTCATTTATGTAATACATTGTTCACCACCTAGGGTGTTTCATGATGGACAAACCGAAGCTCCATCCAATTCTAGAAATACCTCCCGTAATCCAAAAGTAGAGAAAACATTATATATGATTTCCTACCATGAATATTGCAATTGTCTGTAAAGCTTAAATATTTACCAATCCAACATTAAGACGACCTTAGAACTAGCATTTTCCCACTTACTTCAGGACTGATTATGTTGCCTTATCAAGGTATTGAAAAAGTCTGAACCTTGTTATCTGTAAGCTGTTCTTGGGACCCCTTTTGGCTAAGGATCAGTTTAAAAGTGTTGTAAGAAAACCCCACAGACTTGCTATACAGAACTATTTATTCAAATTAACCCAATCAAGACATACCTGTATTATCTGCACAGTTGATCACAGCTCCCACTGGGAGTCCAAGTGAAATGCGAAATTTCGCACCAGAGGAACCACCACGTCCTATTAAAAAGAAATTGGATGAATTGTTTCTTCATTAAAGCAATAAAAATATGCCAATATTTATCACCTTTTTTGATTGTTTGAGTCTTAAAATCAGGTAAATTTTCCCTAAGAAATCACTGTTTTCCATATATTTACACTTTGTGTTAATTCTGTTCTAATAGTTTGAAAACCCCTATTACTGGTAGCTAAGTAATTACTCTATTGATCTATGAAGCCTCTCCGATCTCCATAGTGTGGTTAAAAAGGGGGGGGGGATTTGCATATCCCTCATTACCCAAATGGGAGAAGCAAAAATAATTCATTTTGTCCTCTCAAATATTTAAGGCAGGGTTTCTCAACCGTGGCAACTTTAAGATGTATGCTGGTTGGGGATCTCAAAATATCTTAAAAGTTTCTAGTTGTGAAATACTAATCTACAGAACTACAATAGAAATAAAACAGGGGACGAGGATAGGCCAATATCGAGTACGAGGTCTGGAAAAGATTATGTCGCAAATATTATATAGTAAAATCCTACTAAAGCAGCTGAAGTTACAAGCGTACTGCTTTCCAATCAAGTTCTCACCTTCCCGCCCTACCTCAATGGTTTCCTCAAACCCCACGAACCAAAAAAATATTGTTTTTGAACTGGATGGTCGAAAATATTCATCTCGTCAGAAACCTAACTTTCACCCATCAATAATGCCCGACAGAGAGACTGTAATATCTTCCCAAACTAGAGCGATGAAGGAGGATTCTCTTCCAGACCATCTCGCGGTTTAACAGGCCTTACCTCGCTTGGACATCTTGCTCAGGAGGCTGGGAAAAAAAAGAAAGGAAACGCAAGGCTTGCCGGGATAACTAATACGTTTTCAAAGTCCCATGTCACGTGAGACGACCTTCTCACGTGATACCGGAAACGGATATTAAAAATAGCCCTACTTTTTTTTTTAATGCTAAAGTAATATTCTGTTAAAGGTGAATTTAATCAGAGGGCTTTAGGCATCTTTTTTTTTCTTGTTTGACTTTGTAGTTTAAATATGTATTTATTCAAAGAAGCGCCCTCTTTACTTTTAATTAGTCGTCCATCCTTATAGGCGATTCTATACCTGTAGTTCCTTGCAATCGAGCTTTATTTTAAACAGAATATTCAAACTGAGTCGGTCATTTTAAAACATTGAATCTTAAATTATTCGAATCCTGATAAAAGTTGTCCTAAACAGGTACGAGTTTAATTCTAGTTACTATTTATAGTGACAAAAAGAGTAGTTAAGCTAATATTTTGCAAAAATATAGGAAACACTCTTGACAGCCTGAAAATCAACAGTACTACTGTTGTACAAAATTTAATATTTTGAAAGTGAAATGAGGAACAGGAAAACATAAGGCAGATTAACTGAAGTGTTGACCAAAATTTGAACAGCAATTTAGGCATGAGATCAAACTGCTGCTTGGAACATAGATTGGCTCAGCTCGGACTCTTGAGCTGACTTGATACACTGAACGATTAATTAATTAGGATAAATTTGTATAACAAAATAAGCTAAACATGATTAATTTATAGTTCAGTATATTAAGAAAATGCAATTGTACAATAATTTTTAGCTTTTCATTATCTGTTCTATTATTTTCCTTTTTTTTCTTACACCAAGAATAGCTGTACAAATATATAATGTTCTTAGGACTACGCTTGAACATTTGAGGAGGATTTGAGGCTAATGTTTTTGAATG